ATTCCTTTCAGTCTATTTATTTTTAGTATCGATTTTAGTATGTTCATTGATTGCATAATTTCAAAAATTATGCTCTCCCTGTTACAGTTTTGGGTGTAAAATTAGTCAAAACATCCTGTAACTTATAGACCTCACTTTTGCCTTTTTCAGAACATAGCAAGTGGGTTACACAAAATCACCAAGGTATATTTGAAAGCTTTTTGTCAGAATACATAAAACAAAATGACAACCGGCAACATTGCTATACTGTCTGATTCTTTTTTAAAAATGATTCTCTACATTCATTTTAATTCCATTTCAGTTGTTCGGATAGGATGCTTTTCGTCGATAAAACAGTTTGTATTTTTGCATATACTTGTTCACATACTTCAACTTAATTTCTTCCATCTTATATGTGTGCCTAACGCACGATTTCATTTGTTTCTTCCTTGTCAAAGATTCCTACCAGGTGAGAAGTACAGCTCACAGCAAACGAATGGATTTGAATTTTGCTCAAAGAAGGCTGTTATGGAAAGGTATGATTGTAGTTCCCTTTTTGTTGATGTCTCGTATCCCGCACACCAACAATCATTGCTGCAACTAAGCGAGCATTTTCATCGTTCTTTCGAGTTTGAATTCTATTGTCTTTCAACATTATGACATAACGGTATAAATAGAGGATATTAAATGGGCTGGCGGAGACGGATTTTATCTTAGTGTGTTGAAAAAGATCTCTCACCAGTGAGGGTAGCGATTTTCAGCACGAGAAGGTAACATTGGTATCTCCAAGCGAGCATGTAATATTCTGTTTATCATCCTATCTTTTACTATCAATATAAAGATACCTAAAAATAGAGGAATATAGGTATTTCATAGATAATTATATGATTAACTGATTTAAGGCACTATTTATCTTACACAGAAAGTAGGCGAACCATTCTGTTAGTCTTGCTGTATTTCCTTAAATTTTACCTTTCTTAGGTGGTCGTCCTTCGCAGTCCTCCAATCAAAGTATCAATGCCACAAAGGACCAGATAATAACGACATCCAACAGGCAGAACACTCTTATCTTTGTCAAAATTGGACAGGAGGCGGACAATCGGGAAGCTCGGACTTCTTCATTGTCATAGGTAAATGTATTTATGAACGTAATAAGCACAAAATCACTGAGGAAAATCGCGCGCTTTAAAGGCTGTAAATTTGATGTAAATATTATGTAAGTATCCAAAATGATGTAAATT